AAAAAAAAAAAAAAAAAAAATGAAAGAAAAAGAGGCAGCTAAAATTGATAACTAACTGTAGCTAAGATATTGGATAATATTAAAGTTTGCAAGTTATTAACAAGTCAGGGTTAGGCAGGGGTAATTTTCCAAGGGTTACCTTTCCTTCAAAATGTGATGTTTTTTTTCCTGAATATATCATTACTTTGACTCATCAATATTTTTGGACAAGTAACATTAGCAATAAAAGCCATCTAAGTAATTTGCCATTGTCTTAACCACCTTTTTTAAATAAAAAAGGTGACTGTATGCATTACACATGATAGTTTTTTCTATGTTCTTCTGGTTAAAGAGCAGATAGAAAAAACTTAAGACACAGCAAGGCTGTAACATGCCAAAGGTCACATAACCTGTAGGTACAGACAGATTTTCTGTGATTATTAATCTACTAAAATATTTTACAGTTCATTACATTACTAAATCCAGTGATCAATTAATGACACACCTGACATACACCCTTCTAGTTTCATAAAAATCATCTCATTAGGCTGGGCGTGGTGGCTCACACCTGTAATTCCAGCAATTTGGGAGGCCCAGGGGGTGCAGATCCCTCAAGCTCAGGAGATCCAGACAAGCCTGGACAACCTGGTGAAATCCCATCTTACAAAAAAAAAAAAAAAAAAAAAATTAGCAGGCCTGGCTGAGGTGGGAGGATCACAGGAGCCCCTGAGTTCGAGGCTGCAGTGAGCTGTGCTAGTGTTACCGCACTCCAGCAGAGTGAGGCAGAGTGAGACCCCTTCTCAAAACACACACCCACACACACGACAACAATAACACAATAACAACACATCAACACCTCCAAGATATCTTATTAAACTCTGTGGATCTGTGCCATTTAAACCTAATTGTTTCAGGTAATTGTCTAAAAACATTTTTTCCCCCCCCGGAATGGAATGTGTATGTAGGCTCAGGGAATAACTCAGTTTATCAGGTTCTTGGCTCTTTTTTCCACAGGTCCAAAAGGATAAATGGATAAAGTGATGCTGAAATAACTTAGAGAACCAGTATTCCAATGCTTCTATTTTAAAACAATGAAGCCGTTTTTAAAATAGAAAAGTATCTATAATTTTGCTTTCAAGCAAACTAGCGTTAACGGAATCATTGCTATTCAAAACTATTTTTGAAGTATCGGTGTATATTTAAAAAATAATTTTTAAAAAGGAAAGCTCTTATTCTGGATTCCGCCACTCCCCCCATCCCCCCGCCCCGCCATTCTCCGCCCTCCCCCCATCTCGTCCCTCCGATGGCTTAAGTCGCATAGCTGAAAGGATTTTGCTCATTTTTTCCAAAACACTTCACGTCTGGGTAGTAGCCAGTCATGGAAAGTTTCAGGCAAATGTTACATTTGGGAGAGGGATGAAGCTCGTCCGGGGCTGCTCTCAGAGGAGTCGCCAGACGACCTGACCTGGGGGCCAGATGCGAGCTGGGACCGGCCGAGTTCCGACAGCCCGGACACACTCAGCCTCGCCAACCCTGCTGACCTCACAGCCCTCGGCTGCGGGGGCTCTCGCCCATGAGTCTCCCAAACAGCTCGAAGCCCCGGAGTTGAGGAGCCCACCGCTTCATAAATGCGAGAAGCCTGAGCCCCCAGTACCCAACTAAGCTAGCCTCGGGGTTGGCGCGGCGTGAAGAAAGTGCTGCTGTGGAGCCGGGCCTGGCTCATCCGCTTCACACGTCAGTTTGACTCCCCTCCCCGCCCCCCACCAGTCCCCCACCCTCCTCTCCGCGCACCCAGAGCCGACAGAAATTTGACTGCTCCAATCTCCAATCAAAAGAGAGGTCGAGGATTTGAGCCAATCGAAGCGGCGAAGGGGGCGTGCCGCTGGCGTTCCCCGCCCCCGGGTGTGTGAGCGCCCAAGGTCTCGAGCCCTCCCCTGCGCTTTAGCCTCAGTGCGGAGCCCTAGGCGGTGTGAGGAGGATCGATCGCGAGGATCCTTGGGAGCAGCAGTAGCAGCAGCAGCAGCAGTAGTACCTGCATCCGCTGCGGGAGTCGGAGCTGGAAACACACCCACGTCGCTGCCCTTTCCTCTTCTGTCATCTCACCGCCCCGCCACAGACCGCGTTCCCGGAGGAAAGCGGCCGCCCACGCCCGGAGCATCCTCCCCTGTCCAGGGGGCGCTGACTGACCCGGAGGCATGATGCGGCTGCGAGGCTCGGCGATGCTGCGGGACCTGCTCTTGCGGTCGCCCGCCGGCGTTTGCGGGACTCTGAGGCGGGCACAGCCCCTGGTCACCCTGTGCCGGCGTCCCCGGGGCGGGGGACGGCCGGCTGCGGGCCCGGCGGCCGCCGCGCGACTCCACCCGTGGTGGGGCGGGGGCGGCTGGCAGGCGGGGTCCCTCGCGCGGGGCCTGTCCAGCTCTCCCTCGGAGATCTTGCAGGAGCTGGGCAAGGGGAGCACGCAGCCGCAGCCCGGGGTGTCGCCACCCGCTGCCCCGGCGGCGCCCGGCCCCAAGGACGGCCCCGGGGAGACTGACGCGTTTGGCAACAGCGAGAGCAAAGAGGTGGTGGCCTCAGGTGAAAAGTGAGTGTCTCCGCGAGGCGCAGGAGGCCTCGTTCCGCTCTGGGCCCAGCCTCGGGAGAGTGGGGGGACCTGCTGTGGGGCGGGATGGGAGCCGAGGTTTTAGAAAAGAGAAAGAAAGAGATGCCGGGCGGCTGCGCCATGTGATTAGGCCCGGCCCCGCCCGCGCCTTCCCCGCCTGCGCCCCTCTGCCAGGCCCCCACTTCCCTTCTCCGCCCCCGGCGGGGGTTGCCCGGGTGGAGCAGTGGTGGGGCCTGAGGGGCTCGCCTGGCGTCCCCAGTGCAGGAGAGGCCGCTGCCTTGCCTGCGCCGCGTGCTCTGCTCCCTGGCTCGCGGCTGCAACGCCTGGCTGCCTGCCCTAGCCGTTCGTGGGCGATGCCGCACGAACATCTCCACCGTGTGGCATTTAGGAGTCTGGCGTTCACCAGAGCCATTACCTTCCTGACTTGTCGCCTTTCCTGGCTCTTTTCCGCTCTGCCTGCCCTCCCCTGGTCTCTGCCATCATCCTGTTGGAAGCCAGATATGACAGAGATCTTTATATTTCTGGAGTGGCCATCTCAGGCACGTGTAGAGCCATCTGGGGCACCGGAAACAGTGTTTCAGAAGTGAGATTAGGAGGAATAGGGTCATGTGGCCGAAAGATGGGGCACGCAGTGTATAGACCACCTGTTTGCATTGAGGACCAGCTTTGGCCTCTCATGTCTTCCATGAGATGGAGAGATTTTTAGAAATAAAAGTTTAAGAGCCGAGATGAAATGTGACATAATACATTAGCTCAGTGAAAAATTTGAGTTAAGTAGGTTTTGTGACTTCATTGTGATAGGATGTTGACTCATCCTGTATGTGTACAGCACAGTAGTTTAGTCTTAAAGCAAAATTGGTTTTTCTTAAACAATATGTAAAACAATCTCCTAAATATTTTTGTCTTCTGCAATACAAATGGACAACTTTGTTTACCCAAAATGGGTAAAACTTACCTGTTTGCTTTCATTATACCTTACTATTTTTCTGGCTTTGTATGCTGACACTGTAACCTGTTCTGCTTCCCTTTTATTTCTGCTGCTATTTCCAGCTCTAGCGTTCCTTAAGTCAAACCGAAAGTGAGAACGTTCTTACAATTTCAATCTCACGTTTGCTTGATATTTTCCTGTAACTGAAGTTGGGAGCTTCCAAAAACTTTACTAAAGTTCTTCTCCCAGACTGAAGAAGATTATTTGAAAAAAATCACTTGATGGGCGAAATTTGTGGTATTGTGTGATATTGGTTGTGCCACAAAATAACGTCCTGACCATGGCAGGTTATTTAATATCTTGGGTTAGATAGCTTAAATCCTTTCAAGTTCTAAAAAGCTAAAATCTTGTTAAATATGTACTTTTCTCATGTTTTAGGGACTAGAATGATATTTAGTCTCATCTGGGACTTACTTTACTTTAACATTATCTGGTTTACCATACAAATGCCCAAGTTACAGAATTGCAAAATGCAGTCACTACCATTTAAGAGTTAACGTTATGGAACTGCTTTCTAGTAAAATTATGCCTTCAGGTCTGTGTCTCTGCAGTGGCTCTAGTGCCTCTCTTTTTTTCCTCTTTTGTCAGATAGGAAATTGAGCTGCTTTTGTGATTCACTTGTCCAGAAGTTTCTGGTTTCATTGCCTTCTTAATAAGAAGTCACCTTTTAGCAATGGCCTCAAGGTTGTGAAGAAAGTATGTTAATTTGGTTAAAGTTTCTATTTCCTGAATGATCTCTTTACAAATGTAGCTTTTCTCCTTTGGCTCCTTCCATTTTGCCTTTTTGTGACAAACATTTCTCTTATCCTGGGACATAAGCTCCCAGTTGATCCTGTTATCCTTTCTAATGCTTAGCCTCCAAAGCATAGGTCATCCCTCAATCAGCAGTCCACTTGGTATGCTAGCACTCACTCAGGACTGTGCTAGATTTTATGTAGTATTATTAAAATAAATAACCATGTGAAAATTAAATTAATTGACATTTTATAAAAGACAGCACAATATTTGGCATGTATTAAATGTCACATAACTGTTTATTAGATACATGAGAAAAAAATTGCTTCTTCATTATTTTAAAGTCTCTTAAGGAGATTGGCCTTTGAATTTCAGGCTTGCACACAAAGTTTTTACATTTTTTTAGTTTCCACAAAAATGTTTACCTTGGGAAATTGCTATACATATGTCTTACATGAAACTATGTGATTTGCACTGTTTACCTTTTGCTCTGCTGATAAATAAGTTCAGAGTAAATTTAATGCTTAACCACACCAATTTCATTAGTTCACATGGCTGAGGTATTTGCTTTTTCTTCATTCCTTGGTCCTGACTTTATATTTTATTTACTTTATATTCTGGAAAGGGGCAGCATATAAGCAAATTACCTTACCTTTTTCCCACAAACTCTTTGAACTAATGTTACTCTAGACTATACTGTCTCCTTTACACAACTTTAGTGTGGTTTAGGATATGAACATCTTAATATCATACAGAAAAATGTAATTATCTTTGCTCAGTTATCCCTATAGTGATCTTATTTAATTTTGTTATGGTTCATTCTGTTATCTTGAAAACCAACTTTGGTTGCCTCTCTTCATTTTCAAAATTGTTCTCTCTTCTTTCCTACTTCTTTTTGGGTTTCCTTACTGGGTAAACCCTGAGGCTGAGGCCTTTGCTCCTTTCCCGCTTGTCTACCTTCTCAACAGTGTATCCCTTCTTTCAGCTTTGACTTTCATCTTTGTGTAGGTAATACTTCATCTCTTAATCTAAGCTCCATTCTTACGTTTGTCTCCACATATCTGATGACTTCAAATTTAAAATCTATACCCCAATATTCATTATTTTCTCTAATTCAATCTATTTTGCATACTGTTATGAGATTAATTTTAGAGTTTTAATTTGAAAATATCACTCTCCTTCCAGAAAACCAACAGGAACTGAAATGAACATTTTATATATATATATATATATATATGTGTGTGTGTGTGTGTGTATTTTTTTTTTTTTTTAAGATGGAGTCTTACATGCTGCACAGGCTGGAGTTGCAGTGGCACGATGTTGGCTCACTACCAACATCGATTCTCCTGTCTCAGCCTCCTGAGTAGCTGGGATTACAGGTGCACACCACCACACCCGGCTAATGTATATCCTATTTTAGGGAAGGGTCCCTTGGAAGAGTCAAAGAGATAGAGGTACAAGGGCATTATTAAGTTTTTTTATTTGGGCATTTATTTTTTAATGAGAAAGGAAATGAGATAACAGAAATTGAGCTGAAAAAATACCAGCAAATGTATGTTGTTTAGAAAATAGATAATTCATGCAGGATGCAATATTGAAAGTATTCTCTTAAGGCAACAGTGAGGTCAGTTTCTCCTTGTCAGATTGGCAGATGTTAAGTCAAGTGATTGGAAATAGGAACTCTTGCATTGCTAGTAGAAGTATAACTTAGTTCAGTTACTTTGGAGGGCAGTTTGGTAGTTTTGGTTAAAAACTGCATACTGTGAGGTAGTAGTTGGATGTTTGCACATCTACATGAAGTCCTGGTATTCAAAAATATTTGTAATTACACAAATAAGCATAATTTAAAGTATATTTATATTTAAAAGTTCAAGAAAAAATGATTTCAGCTAGTTTTAGATAGTATGGATTTATGTTTTGATTGTTCAGCTTTATGTTTTAATAGTTCATATACTTAGTAAATGGAAAATGAAGGGCAAAGAAAATTGTCATGGTATATACTCTGAAAACTGAATATCAAAGTAAGATTAAATGGTTATGCATTTCAGCAAACATTGAATTGGGTAGATTGAGCAATACTAGTAAGAAAGTTGAGTCAGTATTTGGCAGATATAAATATTATGTTTTAGAATTGAATGACAGAACCCGTTTTAAAATAGGTAGCACGTTTTTATGATCCTTCAGTATTGCATTTGTTCTTGATTTTAAAAGTTAACATATTTACAGTTCACTAAAACTGAAATCATGGTGGAAAGTATGTTTAATTTTTTTGTTTGGGCTTCTCAAGTAGCCCCTTATTTATTTATTTATTTATTTATTTATTTATTTTTTAAGACAGAGTCTTGCTCTGTCGCCCAGGCTGAAGTGCAGTGGCATGATATCGGCTCACTGCGACCTCTGCCACCTGGGTTCAAGCAATTCTCCTGTCTCAGCCTCCCGAGTAGCTGGGATTACAGGCACATGCCACCCTTAGTTATATTTGATTTCTTCAATATTAACAGTTTTTTCTAGGTAATGATTATCAGTGAGTTTTAGATTTCTGTTTTTTTAAAAGCACGTGAAAAAAGTAACAATAACTATATGTCATAACATATTTGTGGCCTAATATTTATATTAAAATTTGCATTAATCGCTTCTTGGCCTTTTGGCTAAGATTAAGTGTAAAATGTGCATTAATTAGTCATTGACAAATTTGTCCATGATTTGTAATTAACAAACTTCATGCTGTTAATTTTAATTTTATTAATATTTGGGTGAAGTTTACTGTAAGGGCAAGAATTAGATTCTGAGGGGTTTAGTCTCCCTGAGTTTTAGCTGCATGTTTCCAGATCTTACTCTTTTATAGAGAAGTCTGCCTACCTCAAAGTCAGCTAATTGATGAAATGACTACCAAGTAGAATTCACCCTTTTTTATGAGGCAATAGGTAGGCCAGCTAAAAGGGAGGAGGGCACTATTTTAGTCCAAAGATAAATGTCACCTTGAAAGAAATTTGCTGAAGATATTTGTGGGTTTCTTTGAGTTTTAAAAAGTTACTTAAAAGAAATCAGGCGGGGCGTGGTGGCTCATGCTTGTAATCCCAGCACTTTGGGAGGCTGAGGCAGGTGGATCATTTGAGGTCAGGAGCTTGAAACCAGCCTAGCCAACCTGGTGAAACTGCATTTCTACTAAAAATACAAAAATTAGCCAGTCGTGGTGGCGGGCACCTGTAATCCCAGCTACTCAGGAGGCTGAGGCAGGAGAATCGCTTGAACCCGCGAG